TCACCTTTCACCTCGACAATTAGAGCGCCGTCCTTACTTCTTTCTCTCTACGAAGCCTGGGTTTCTCTTTCATATTATTGTTTTCCTTCTCCTTCTGTTTCTTTCCTCTTCTTCTTCCACTGCCAACTTCATGTTTTCCTTGCTCCTTATTATTTTTCAGTTCTTGAGTTCTTCTTCCTCTTCCTTTGAGCAAAAGTGCTTGAAACCACGCTTACTCGCTTTGACAGAGCTGCTTTCGAATGTTGTAGTATTTTTTAGAAATTCAAGTAGTAAGAAAGTGAATATTCACTGTGAGAATTTTTGGGAAGCATTGTGCACAAGTACAAACTACTGGATTAAAAATAATCGCAGAGATTATTCACTTCCGCTAAGAGATACACCTTCAGTTTCAACTTCCTTGCGCATTTCAACTTTCCCCGGTGTACCTTAAATCTCTATAACGATCCCACTTTTCTCGGACATATATTGACCGTTTTGTACACAACCGGTTCCAATTTGTTTTGACGTAGGATTTGTGATTTCTATATCGGGGTACACTTTGTGAAAAACAAACATGGAACATGTAACAAAATAATGAAAGATTTTGAACGTTAATAAGTCAGCTGCCCCTGGGCCAATTTCAATAAATTTATCACCAATCGATCAGAAATATTCCTACGCATCTGTTAAAATTTAGAGCTTATCATTTTTCAAAATGTCGCTATCAAATGTGCACGAATGTGCAACTGTTGCTATGATAATTAAAATTATCACCGATTGCCTGCGAAAAACGATTTCCTTAACACAGATTTCAAAGTTGAATTCAATCCGATCTCACCAAACGGTGTTTATTCAATCACCGCGTGGTGAGTGGTGGTGTTCTCCAGTACATAACGAAAGGCTCCCCGCAAGCAGCAAGCTATGAACAAGGCTGCCCACAACCGCTGATCGGATTCAGTTCCAATCACCCTGTGTGGCGGTGTCCCTTCGTCGGCATCATCATCACCAGCAGCAGTGCTTTCGATGCGTGGCGTTGAACATTGTTCTCCAGTAAAAATGAAAGGCTGCCTGCCAGCTGCAGCCCATATGAGCATCAATAGAAGGAGAAAGAAGCCGGACCGCTATTGATCGGAATCAGTAGCTCTTCGTGAGTCGCTGTGGGTCATCTATGTCAAGCGCGTCATACTAAAGAGTATAAACAGAGAGAACCCCGCTCTAATTCCTATTCCTACACAAAACACAAGCTCCTGCTGCAGTTAACAAATTAAGTTTATTATATAAGTCACCATTGCGTACAACCCCATAGGGCTGTCCCTTGAGTTTCTTTTAAACTGATTTCCTTCTTCTTCTTTGGCTTAATTACGTCCCTACTGGGACTTTACGCCGATCCTCAACTTAGGGTCCTTTGAGCACTTCCATAGTGGTTAACTGATAGATTTTTAAGCCTGTACCATTTTTGCATTAGTATAATTGTGTGGCAAGTACAATCATATTCTATCCCAGGGAAGTCGAAGTCAGCCCGAAAAATTCCTAGACTGGACCGGGATTCGAACCCAGTCATCTCTAGACTGACAGAGCTAAGGGAGGCCCCATAGAATTATATTGAATTTTATCTCGATCGGACATTTATTTCAGAGCCAACATTTCATAGGGGTGTAATTGCCGTTGCAAACAATGGCTTTAGCTGCCGATTTCTCGCGAATAAAAGCCCATTCCTTAAATGCTAGCTAGTAGAGGAAACATTCCTCTACCTGCTGGTGTAATTGATTTTCATGAGTGAGCTTTTATTCCCCAAAAAAACGATGGCTAAAACCAAACCCTTTGAAATTTTGGCACTGCTTTGGTTCCGGAGATATTAGAATTTATAAGAATAGCTTTGGTATTTGTTTACTAGTCCCGTAGATATAGTTGGAGCAAGATACGTGTACAAAGAATTAGTGCTGCACCTATCTTCCATTATGCTGAAGATAGTGGAGAAAATAATAGATGAGTATATAAAGTCAAAGTATTTTTAGTTACAATTCCTTTTAATAAATATCAGTTTGCATATCAAACTGGTAAATCAACCGTAACAGCTCTTCATACGCTGGGTACAAAACTAGAAAAATCTTTTAAATCAAAAGACATTTCCCTAGCAGCGTTCATTGATAAAACATGAACATGAGTTCGATAAAAGCATAGTTAATTGGATTAACGAAATGCTTAGCAAAAGAGAAATCTCAGCAAACCTTGAAAGCTCATCCATAACAGTAAGAGCTGTAAAAGGGTGTCCTCAAGGAGGTGTTCTTTCACCTCTACTGTGGTCTTTAATAGTTGATGATCTTCTCAAAAACTTGGAAGCACAGGGCTTCGAGATTATTGGCTTCGCAGATGATATAGTCATATTAGTACGTGGAAAATATGACTATATCGTTTCAAGTAGAATGCAAATTGCTTTAAATTGGATTTCATTGTGGTGCACTAGCGAAGGATTGAATATTAATCCATCTAAAACAACTATTGTACCATTTACACGAAGAAAAAAATGTTCATAAATAGTATTAAACTGAAAGGAATAATTTTAGAACTTTCAAACACAGTCAAGTATCTGTGAGTTACTCTTGACAGCAAACTAAATTGGAATTCGCATCTAGAGCAAGTCATTAGTAAAGCAACAAATGCCCTTTGGATAAGTAAAAAAAACATTTGGTAGGAAATGGGGACTAAAACCTAAAATGATCCACTGGATTTATTTGACGATAAGATTGTAAGATCCAGAATAACCTATGCATCATTGGTTTGGTGGCCTAAAACCAATAAAAAATTAGCTCAGAAAAAGCTGGGGAGGCTGCAAAGACTAGCTACTCTCTCAATAACTGGTGCAATGAGTAGCACACCAAGTATGGCACTAGATGCTCTACTTTATCTGCTTCCGTTGCATCAATTTATTCAATTAGAAGCCTAAAGGAGTGCATTAAGGATCCGACGGTCACAGCACTTCCTTGAAGGTGATCTTAGAGGACATATGAGCATCCTAAAAATGTTCAATATTGATTCTATTGTATTACAAGATGAGGATTGGATGAAGAAAAAATCTAGATAGAGCTAGAATTAGGGCGAAACAGCTTTTGTAAACAATGACTTCTCTCGATGATTTCTAGAAAGCCTCGCTCACTCAAATCAACGTCGCCATCGGGTAGGGGAAGACTTCCCCTTCCCGTTGGCTATGTTGGTTTGCGTGGGCGTGCCTTGAGTTTCGAGAAATCATCTAGAGAAGTCATTGTTTACAAAGGCTGTTTCGCCCTAATTCCAGCTCTATCTAGAAATATCACTTCGATCGTCTTTACAATGTAGCAGATGCGGATCGCGATTTGTGGGACAATGGATGACCAAACATTCGTCCAGGATCAATTGTCTTTTATACAGACGGCTCTAGATTGGATAATCGTGTAGGAGCAGGGGTAACAGGTCCAGGTATAAATATCTCAACATCTATGGGCTACTAGCCTACCGTGTTACAAGCAGAAGTCCAAGCAATTCTTGAATGTTCTAAAATTTTCTTGCGTAGAAATTATAGACATTCGAATATCTGCATTATGTCTGATAGCCAAGCAGCACTAAATACTTTGAAATCACCAACATGTAATTCTAAACTTGTATGGGAATGTGCAATGTCACTTCAAAAATTGACCTGCCAAAACCAAGTGAACTTATTTTGGGTTCCTGGTCACTGTGGAATTCAAGGGAATGAGAAAGCCGACACACTAGCTAGGCTTGGATCATCTCAACAATTTATAGGGCCAGAACCATTCTGTGGAGTTCCTGCTTGCTCTCTTAGAATGGAGTTCAAGAAATGGGAAAAAAATGAAAGTGGAGACCAATTGGAACAACACTCTCATTGCTAGGCAGTCGAAACGGTTTATTAATCCGAGCATTTCAATGACTAGCAAAATTATTTTACTATCAAAGAAAGATCTCAGTATGGTTTAATAACAGGGCACTGTCCATGTAAATATCACTTGAAGCTAATAGGAAAACTTCAAGATGACATGTGTCGATTATGTGGCATAGAAAAAGAAGACTCTGAACACCTGCTATGCTCTTGTACAGCAATCTTCAATAAGAGGCGTATTTTTCTGGATAAGGGGCTGACAGAACCCTTTGATATTTGGAATTCAGTTCCCAGCCAAGTAGTGCAATTCATTCGAAATGTAATACCTGACTGGGAAAATGCTTTCGGTCAGTCTATGTCAGTTGCTTCATAAAATGGTGTTACGACATGCTGATAAAGCAATATTAAAACGGGGAATATAAGTATCACAATAGATTTAAGTACTGGTCGCAGTGATCAAATACCCAACACGAAAAAAAAACAAAATTCAACTCAATCGTTTTGTCGGCCACTCATTTATAAGAAAATTTCACAAGAAAACACCGAATACCTGTCCAAATAGCAGCTCTACGCTTTCTTATTTAAATCACGCTCTTCTAGTCACCAGCTGAGGCGGAATCGATGACTTGATTTCTGTTTCATATATTTTTGTGCACTGAAATAAAAGATAAAATTCGTCCAGTTACCTAAAGTTTTTTATTAAACCGGTTACAGACACTTTTAAGAGAGTACCGTGGACCCCAGGTAATCTGACCGTTTTTAATCTTTTTTTTAATTTGAACCCCGCTAATCTGCACGTCGTGCAAACTAAAAATTGCTCAAATGTCATTTAGCTAGTGGAATGGAGTGAAGCGAAATGGAACATTGTGAAACGGAACGCATAACAAAACAGCAAATAAGGTTACCAGAAACACGCTTTTCTGATGCTCATAGGCTTACTAGAAGTTCAAATTAAAAATGAACCCCGTTAATATGAATGAAGTGTCGTTTAGATTTGTGTGGGTCAACTGAAAAACTTACGGTTAAAATCATTTCACTTCGCTTTTGGTTTCGTCACAATGGAGTTTATCTCTGTTTCCGATTCCGTCCCATTAACTCTTACTAGTTTCTCTAAAAATAACTGACTAGCTAGGTTGATTTATTTACGTAATTAGTTGGCTATGTATGTAGTGTAAAATTCAACACTAATCAAATTATAAAACCGCTCGAATTCTCCACCAAAAAATATAAACGTCTTTGTATCATATCTTATCCTAACCGTTCATAAATAAGCTCTTTCTCGTTGATTATGGCTACCTTTTTCAATTGACATCACTAGCATTCTATTACATTAATAAAACAGATTAGACAACAATTTGTTATGTAAGTGCCCATTTAACAGTCCGCAACGACATCCTCGGGTAGCCAGAAGAAGTTTCGAATCTCATCGGCATCCGAGGGACGACAGTGGGGTGGAGTGGATCCCCCTCGTTCAATTAACTTCTGACGGATACTGTTCATGGTGTTTGCATTCCGTCTGCTAGCTTCCGCCAAATTAATCATCGGTGCTGGATAGTCTGTACCGACTATGCAACCAAATTCTCTCTGTACGTCCAGCGGTGCCTTCCATGGTTCGTGGCTGCAATGGAGAACACATTCGATTATTTTAACTGTAAATGGTGGACTAGTGAACTCAAACCTACACATATAACGTTGGTAGGTTCTTTAATTCGGGCAGATAGCGTCGGACGTACTCTCCTTTGGGGTCGAGGCGACGTGCCAAAGCGATCGGGGAAGTACACGAGGATGAATCCAACAGCTTTTCAAATGCAGACGATGAAACCCACATCCAGTTCCCAGCACATACCGACCAGTCCGCATCAAGCAGGTACTTGAGAAAATGCTGCACGCCAGCTTCCCAGCTGATCCATAGGGCGCCACGTGTCAGAAATCTGAGTAGAAAAAAAAAACTACGTTTACCGGAAATCTTTAATAGACCAATACGACGAACTCACGTGGCTGTGATGTTCCTGAGAATATGATGCAACCATCCTTCGGCCAACAACTGCCGCATAGCGGCATCTATCAACGGAAACCCAGTGCGACCTTCCTTCCAGCGATCGAGCGAATCGTCCCTAGGTTCGTACCAGGGAATATTTAAACATATCGGATTGGCTTCCATTTCGCTGTAATGGGGATTATGCACCGACATAGTGTAGAAATATTCCCGCCAAATCAACTGGCCAGTAATGTGATGTCCTCCAGGATATTTATACTCACTGTTGGCTTGAACCTTTTCGAACAGATCATGAAGGCACCAGTAGAACATACGCACAGACAGGCAACCGAAGCGTAGTGCAGCACTCATCGATGTGGGTGACCCCAGGAATTCCGGTCTGGCTTGGGTGGGCAGAAAGTATCCACCGAGGAATGCTTCCTCTTCCTGTTTCAGCCGGCGACCTAGACATTCGAGCGCTTTGGTTTCCCCTCCGATCCATTGTATGTGGGAGATGTCCGGATTACCGTCATAGTAAATGCCAAAATCCTCTGGAGTAAGATTGCGGGCTTGGAGCTTTAATTCCTGCGCAAGAATCGACGGTACTGTACCGAACTCTACGAATTCGAAACTAGGTGCGGCGACGGGTCGTGGTGGTTTGCCGATTATGTTGACGGTGTGCTGAAAAACAGGGGATTTTTCATTACGAATGGGAAAAAATAGCTTTTACTTTACGATTTTCACGATTGGCCAGTATTGATAAAAAAAAATTGTTGGTCCAATGAGGATTGCTAAAGTTCGTGAAAGTTGTAGCAGAATTTTTAGCGGTTGTAAAGTGGTGTTATATAATATATAGAATAGCAAGTGGATTTTGAAATAATGAAAGCTTCGACACCACCGACAATAATAAGCAAGGTTACGACAGCTATTAGTAAGCTGGAGAGCATTTTACGGCAGACTACAGTGGGTTGAACTAGAGTGCCTGTACTACTACAGGCACTCTAGTCCAACCCACTGTAGTCTGCCGTAAAATGCTCAGAAGAAAGATAGGAAAATCCACAAACAAAGCATTTCGGAGACTTGATGTCTTCAGCAATGTTTCTTATTATAATGAGGTCCATTTTATGATTTTATAACAGAAACAGATAGTTTGAAAACAGGGGTCTGGCAACCCTGTAAATATCTATAGCGTTTGACAGTATTCTACGCCAACATCTCGGACCATATTCCTTATTACGTGTTGTGGGCTTCCGCATAGATGGCGCCAATATCAAACTTTTCACTCTAACATTTTAGAGACTTGACATCTTGAGCAAAGATAATCATATTTACGAAATAAACAACTTTTCTGAAGACGTCAAAATTCCACAATTTTCTTTTTGATTTGTTTTGCGTCGGTTTGTTTTCCACAGGGGCCTAACTGGCGGCCATGTTTTTAATGCTCTCAGTCGCTCTTGTCCTTCGGCTTCTAACATGATTTTCCATCAATTTTTCCCCATATATGCGTCAGGCAAGTCGTATTTAAATAAGGCCCGCGGTTGCCTACTGTCAAACGTATAGAATAGATATAGGGATTCCAGTCCCCTGGTTTTCCGTACTGAGTACCAATGCTACCGACGCAAGGGTGACAGCTACCATCAGCATGGGAATGGGAATTGTGGGTTGCCGTAGCTTTTTTTAGCATACTTTCTTACACACACAAGTCTTGCCGATCATATGTGCTGTGCTTCTCAGTTTCGTCTATTTATTCCAAAGACTTAAAGTCGTCGTTTAACCGTAATACAAATTTTGACAAGAGATGAAATTATAGAGTTGATAGTTCCGTTAGAGTACGGCAGTGTGAAAATTGCATATAGAGAGAAGAAAGTGAGCAAAGACAACTTTGAGGAAGGTACAAATCGGGTTAATCATCTCTCTTTACCAAACTCCCCCGTTGGAGAGAGAGATGGTGAGGGGTATCCTCTCCTCATCTATCGTATAAAAATTACCACATTACATAACATACTAATTATTTGAAATTATCATCTTCAACTATGTAAATCGTCAACTTCACGCAGAAGTAATACAAACAAAATAGTTAAAATACATAACTCTAGATGGGAGCTTACCATCAATTAATGTCATTGGTTGAAAGGAACAGTAGCAGCACCGTGTCTCCTCGAGATCGTCAAATCGACGATAACAATAGCTGCAATTTCCAAACTTTCGACTTCGCTTCAGATAACTTGAGTGCGGTACAATCGATAGAACTGTTTCAAACATATCGTCGGTACATGAGCAAATCGGTGATCATCTCTTTTTGCCAGTGGTGGCGGGGGAATACCCCTCACCATCCCTCTCCAACTGGGGAGTTTGGTAAAGAGAGATGATCAACCCGATTCGTACCTTCCTCAAAATTGTCCTTGCTCGCTTTCTACTCTATATACATTGGCCTATTCTGCGTAGCGTGTGAGGTGAGGTGACACGCTGTCACTTGTGAAGTGACAATTTTCACATCGGGTGAGGTGACTCTCCGTGCAAATCATATGGTCATTTCACCATCACTTCACTGTCACCTCACCTCACACGCCGCGCAGAATAGGCCCAACAATTTTCACACTGCACTTTAGTCTGTTATTTGAAATTAACATCTTCAACTATGTATTTAATTCGTAAACTTCACGCAGAAGTAATACAAACAAAACAGTTAAATAAAAAATAAAAACTGTTTTGACGTACACACTTAAAACAGATTCGCGAGATCAGTAGAAAAAAATACTGAGCTGACACGGCAATTTTTAATTTTACTGATATTTCGGCAACAAAAATATTTTTCCCGAGATTGACCAAAAACATTTCCGAAATTCGCAAAGTAATTCGCTGAGCACATCCGTAAATAGAAATAATACCGACATCAGCAATCCCGTTTACTGAGATTTCGTTATTGGCCTCATCCATTGCCGAATTTCGGTAATACAGCTGTCACTTTTTTTCACCCGCCATTTTCAGTAGATCAGAAGTTAATTGTTGTCTGTGTCTTTTTGCATTGAAAACAACTTTAAAAAACCCAAAACGTGGACTAAAACGCTCGAGGAAGCAGGATCCGAACCTACGAAAGATGAACCCACTCCATGGTATAATCCAATGGATTAATGTGAGATCAAGATTGTTCTGTTTTGTTTGAGTGAAAATAATTATTGTTTGGTTTAAATTTTCAGTCCGACAAGAGTATGCCGACGTCAGCAATTCCCCAAATAATAGTTGTTGGGGAGGAGTTCAAGGTAGGGGAGTGCTACGTTATTTTGATAACGTGGTCGTCGGAACAGGTCCGGATGTATTGCAGGCGATCGTGCTGCTCTGTAAAGCGTTTACGGTTTACAGAGTAGCATGTTTGCCGTCTGATAAGCTATTTTTTGGCTTTTTTATCCATGTTGCATTAAAATTAACCAAATGAGCACTACCGGCAACAACTTCATCAACTTCATGTGATGCATTTTTATGGACTTTAATAGATTTACAAAATGATAATCCCATTGCAGTGTTTCTTATTTGCAACTATTTTCCACATGAAAATCTTATTATTTATTTGTGTTCTTATTCTTTAACGCAAGTAAACAAAATTGGAAAAAAATGCCGAGATTCAGTATGTTTTTTACCGTAGGTATGCTTTTGCCGAGCAATCAGTTGTTTTTTTACTGAGATTTTCGGCAAAAATTTAAAACCGTGAATTTTATGATTACCGAGATCCTCGGTAAATTTTCTGTTTGCCGAGATGGTTACGGAGCACTCAGTGGTGCCCATCTCGGCGAAAAAATCTAAGTGTGTAGGACTACGTCTGTGATTTCAATATGGGGGTACACTTTGTGAAAACCAATAATGGAACATGTTACACAATTATGAAAGATTTTGAACGTTAATAACTCAGGTGCCCCTGGTCCAATTTCAATAATTTTATCACCAATCGATCAGAAATATTTCAAAGCTTCTGTTAAATTTAAGACTTCATCATTTTTCAAAATGTCGCTATTGAAAATTACACGAATGTGCAACTGTTGCTATGATAATTAAAATTATCACCGATTGCCTACGAAAAGCGATTTCCCTAACACAGATTTCAAAGCTGAATTCCATCCGGTCTCACGGTTTATTCTATCACCTTGTGGTGAGTGGTGGTTAGCAGCTAGTTATCAAGGCTGCCCACAACAGTCCGCATCGTGCTCTCTTGCCGTGCGGATCTATTTGCTTTTTGCTTAAGGAAGTGTTACTACTACCTAAAGCTACAACAAATTTAAACAGCACTTTTCAGTGCTCAACCTGTAAAAATTTTCTACCTTGTTCAACTCCTCTTATTCCTCTTCGATCCTTGTTTGGACCCTACCCGAGGTAATCCTTCTTGGATATCGATTTGGAAAATTCCTCTTCGATCCTTCAGATTCTTATAGTAATCTGCTTGGAAGTCGATTTGGATAAAAAAATTACTGCCGCCATGGCGCCTAAACGCAAAAGAAAGGGGCAAACTCTTGACCCCCCTTCTGAAGAAATTAATTTGAGTAATCAATTTGATTTGCTCACGGATGATGAGAATGATCCATCATCCAAGAAAAATTCTAGTAAACTTTCCCGGCTTAATGCCAAGAAGGAAAAGATTCCCCCTATTGTGATAACCACTACCGATTTCCATGCTCTTCGCATGGAACTTTTGAATTTCGTAAAAGTTAAGTTTTCACTACAAATTGGACGTCGGGGTGAATGCCGTGTATTGGCTGAAACCTTGGACGGATTTAAATGTCTTCTCAAGTATTTTACTGAGAAGAAGCACATTTTTTTTACTTACGACACCAAAACTGAACGTGTGTTCAAGGTTGTCATGAAAGGACTGCCCAGTGGTGAATCCCTGGATCAGATCAAAGATGAACTGGCAAAATTACTTGGAGTTGTGCCACTCCAAGTAATCAAAATGAAAATGAAATCCCGTCCTGGCGATTCGCGCAACGGGATTTCTAATGATTTTTATTTAGTTCACTTCAAGTCTAGTGAACTAAACAACCTTAAGGCCTTAGAAAAAGCTAGCCTTATGCTCCATGTCCGAGTGAAGTGGGAACACTTCAGGAAGACTGGAGGAAATTTCCAAAACCTCACTCAGTGCCGTAAGTGCCAGGGGTGGGGTCACGGAACTAAAAATTGCTACATGCCAGCTAAATGCATGAATTGTGGTGATTCCTCTCACGCAAAGGACGACTGTCCTGTGAAGGAAGATCCTAAGAAATTTAAATGTTCAAATTGTGGTGAAAACCACAAATCCAATTTTTGGGAATGTAAGACTCGCAAAGCGATCCTACAATCTCGTTCTAACCGACAGGTAAAAAACGCTCCACGTTTCCGACCAGGTACAAATTCCTCTGCTGTTAACAACGGTCAGCGAGGAACAAATTCTACATTCGTACCCGTAGGTACAAATATCACCCCTGCTTCAAATGTTTCATCTGTACCTATTCCCCTCGCTGCTAACAATGTTCAGCGAGTTAATGGAGCTACCTATGCTGCTATTGCACCGGGTAGAAATCAAAATACTAACCAACGTTCTAACGGAAATTTTGACAATTTTGACTTAGGAAGCATTACTGTCCCTAAAATGGAATTTTTACAGAATTCATTAATTGACATGATTTCTGATATGCTTAAATCTAACTCCATGTTTGATG